GGGGAGGAGTGAAAGAATCAGTGATGCCTATTATAGAATTATTTACTATGTCAAAAAATGTCATAAAACATATAATCATGAAGCATATGCATAACTTAATTGCCTCCAAAAAGATGAAGTTAGTGTCAATCATAGAATCAATAACCAGAAGTGGAAGAAAAAGACAGACACCAATCTGTATCGACAGCCCAATTTCTGCTGAGGTTGTATATCAGATTAGGTGACTTAGCAAGTATTGAGATATACAAGTGTAGCAACGCCATTATTAAAAAAATGAGATGATTTAAAGGAAGATTTAACTTAAGTTCTTGTTGTGTAGACTCAATAGCTTCTTTTTATTGCTTTTCAAATGGAACTCTACAGATTAATCGCCCAGCAATGATTTCACACGGTATTACGGAAAACAGAAGTACATATGAAACTCTTCTTTTGGTAAGGACATATAATAGAACTCTTAGCGGAGATACTTTGTGGTGAGAATATCAATTAGTATCTTGTGGAGAAAAAAGGAATTTCAAGATTTTCAAAGCAAAACAATATTTGTAATGTTTTGAAAAGCATCATCACCTGCCCAGTACAGAAGCCATTTCTGTTGCTCGTTTTGATCCCTCATCTCAATTGCTTTGAAAGTAGAATAAACAGGCAAAAGAATCCCCACAGAACAGCTGCAAATACCTTTAAAGTTTAACTAGAATCTTCCACTTCGCCAAATAATAAATGCAGCTAAAACATAGAATTCAGAATATCAATAAGAAACAAGGATCCTGAAATGGATATGAAACTTTTGCATCTGGCTCATCCCAAGCAACAGTGTAGAATTCCTTCTTAAAACTTAAAAGTGACTGTAGGCAAAGTCAATTGGATCATGAAAAGAAAATCTCCAAACTCGAATAAGAGCTCACCATGCAGTGCGGACAACAACATTAGTATTAAGCGGACTAAGAAGCAATTTTAACCCAACCTGCATCAAATGAAAGTGATGTGAGACCAGAGAAGAAGAAAAATACTACACCTTCCGGATGCATGACATAAATGAAAGTAATAAGCGCAAGGATGACCAGTAATAGAAGAGTAGTTTTAGTGAAGCTTGAAAACGAAAACTTGTAAGACGGACATCAGGGCTGTAGAACATGACTGGTTGGCCAGTTCAAACACTTTTAAGACTGGGGGAAGTAGTTTAGGATACTCACAAATTTTACCTACTTGCCAAGTAACCATAACAAGCAAGAAGATCTAACAGATTACTGTCTGTTACGATATTTCCTCAGAATATTAAAGCATTACAAAAATGACAATACTCTATTTATGCTTCTAATGCCTTCCCAATCTGAGAGGCATGAAGAAGAAGTGGAAGTAAAGATTGATACTCAAGTCATTCCCAAAAGAGATAGTTTCAAGTATCTTGGGTCTATAATTCAAGGCAACTGGGAGATTGACGAGGATGTTACTCACCGCATTGGAGCGGATTGGATGAGATGGAGGCTAGCTTCGAGGGTTTTATGCGATAAGAATGTGCCGCCTAGACTTAAGGGCAAATTCTACAGGATGGTGGTTAGACCGGCTATGTTGTATGAAGCTGAGTGCTGGCCCGTCAAGAAATCCCATGTCCAGAAGATAAGCGTAGCTGAAATGAGGATGTTGAGATGGATGTGTGGACATAACAGGAAAGACAAGATTAGGAATGAAGTTATTAGGGACAAGGTCGGAGTGGCATCCGTGGAAGACAAGTTGCGGGAATCGAGGCTGCAACGGTTTGGGCATGTGAGGAGGAGAGACATAGATGCCCTGGTCAGGAGGTGTGAGAGGTTGACCATGGCGGGCTTGAGGAAGGGCAGGGGTAGGCCAAAGAAGTATTGAGGAGAGATGATTAGTCAGGACATGTCGGTGCTTCACCTAACCGAGGACATGACTAGCGATAGGAAAGTCTGAAGGTCGAGGATTAAGGTGGTGGGTTGACAGGTAGTTGTGAGTTTCTCCTAGGTTTACCAGTAGTACTAACAATATTCTTGTTGTTGGTTGAAAGATACTTTCTTCTAGTTTGCTATTATATCTGGTACTTAGCAACCACGTCCATTGTTTTGAAAATTGCTACTGGAAATTGTTGCTCCCCGATTGTTACTATTTGATGCTACTTTTTCTCCCTTTTACTGGAAATTGTTGCTCCCTAATTGTTACTATTTGATGCTACTTTTTCTCCTCTTTTTCCTTATCGTCTTTTGTCTCCCTCTTCTTTCTTTCTTCCCCCAATTTCTTCTTCTTCTTTTTCTTTCCTTTTCTTCCTTTCCACCTTTTCTTGAGCCAAGGGTCTATCGGAAATAGCCTCTCTACCTCTCCAGGTAGGGGTAAGGTCTGCGTACACACTACCCTCCCTAGACCTCACCTGTGGGATTATACTGGGTATGTTGTTGTTGTTGCTGCCCTTTCCAATCTGATCAATTCATTTATTTTATACTAATATTGACACCTTTAGGGTCGTTTAGCATGAGGGATTGGAGATCGATTGGTTGGGATTTATCTACTCTAATCCCACCTTTGCCAGGCCAATCTGGAAAACCCTCACTGTCATCTACCGTGGGTGGGGGATCCCTCTAAAAGGCCAAATGTCAAAATAATCCTCTAATATAAGAGATTCTTCTGTTGTGTTTTTGATCCTTCATCTGACTTTTTAGTGAAATTCTTTCATTTAATTAGAGGCATATGGAAATGAAAAAATTAATCTGTATTTCTCTGGTGCATCATCCTTCATGCCAGACATGAAATAGAAATTCAATCCACACACTATTTCCCTTATTCAATCTAATCCGGGAGGACTGGATACCGCTTTTTCCTAATATAAGGACTGATATCCCACAAACCATCAATCTAGTATTTCAAGGAAAATTGTTAGGTTGGACAGGTAATCGATGAAACATCCACAAAAATTCATTAACATGCCTGTCTTTAAAATGAAAAAAACATTTAAGAAAAGGGGGATTTATAATATGCAGCAGATGTTACATAGAAATGAGAATTCAAAAATGTAGATCATCCTAATTTTACACTGCCCATTAGTTTTTCAGATCTTGTGTACATTTCTGAGTCTTTCTGGGGTACAATGGGTGGTGTGTAAGTATATTAGACAATTTTTCTTTAGCTAAAAGGAGAGGAAAATTCAGGAAAGCAATAGAATCGTCTGAAACACTTCTAGTATATGTCTTATTTGGGAAAAAAGAGTAATCAGAGATGCTTTGAATGAAGATTAAACTCCCTATCTGAAACATTGGGCCAGAACTTTTGTATGTAAGTTGTAACACTCGATTTTAGCACCTTCTTGGTCCGTTTGAATGAATATATCATTATTTAACATATATTTTAAAAAAAATTTGTTCAAAAAACACTAGGTAATTTCTTCCCATCTATCCAAGCATTGGTAGACAGAGTTATCCGGTACACATGTGCATGCAAGCTGGCGAGTTGTTTGTAATTCGCCATTTATTAATGTATGGGTCAAAATCCGACCCCACGTGGATTAGCGCTACCAGGGATGGTAAGAGGTCGACTAAGCCGTGGTCATACCCACGGGGTGTTATAACAACGAAGACCTCGGCCACTGCCGAAATCGAGCCATCCCAAAAGCCTATAGGGTGAAGTAAATATCGTGATATTTGAGGGAGGCGACGTGAAGGACAGTCAAGGGATGAAGGCATTCCGGCAGCCTCAGAACTTCGTCCCTCCGTCACAGTAGCTTCTTGAACGCTTGCAACGGGAGTCGCCTCCATATCCAGGTTAGCACACCACCGGTCTCGGGTGCCGTCGAAACAAGGTCGCCCCTCGAGGGTGCTTCGGCTAAAGAAGCCCCTTCCAACACTACCCTTCGCCTCTTCGACGGGGCCTCTCCACTACCGACGCGGGAAGATTCGCCCGTTGAACGGACTGCGGGAACCGGAGTCTCCGATTGAGGAGTAACCTCCAAGCGTACGGTTTCGACTGCGAGCGCAGGCCGAGCAGTAGCTTTTGGTGCAGGCCGAGCAGAGGGCACCGGTTGACAGAATGCGAGCGGAGGAGCCCTCCTCCTTCTTACTCCTCTCCGACCTGTCAATAAGGAGGAATTCGATCATATAATGACAAAGCTGAAGAAACTATGAAACAAAGAGCAAAGCAAAACTACGACGAGCCAACTCACCAGTAAGAGGCTTGCGCCCAAACTTCTCATGGAAAGGCGCCCACTCACGAATCCTCATCGTGTCGGGGAGAATTGCCCTGACCCATTCGCGGATATCGGCGACCAGCGGGGGAGGTAGTCTCTCGGCTGCAAAAATAAAAGCAACTCCTTAGTGAAGTCGTGAATAGGAGACGACTGATGACCGTCTTAAGAAAAATTGCATAAACTAAACAGGAAAACTCACGAGCGAAGTTCCACGTCTCAAGAAACCCTGCAGGGTTCGACAGGATATGCCTTGTTCGGACATAAAAGTAGCTCTCCCAAAAGCGGCGGTTGGCCTTATCGTCCATCTTCACCACCAAACTCTTGGTCCCTCGATGACGCATATGGATCATCGTAGCTCGAAGAAAATGGGGGGCAAAGAGGTAAAGCATGTGTCCTAGGGAGATTCCTCGACCGGCCAGCTCTCCGTACTTGATAAGCATAAGAAAGAGCTTGTACACGTACGGAGAGAGTTGGGCCGGGCACACCTCATAGTAACAAAGGGATACGCGTAAAACGCGCAGTATCCCTGGCGGTGCAAATGCACTATATCCTTATCCGCCGGCACCATTTCAATATGATCGGGAATCCCCCATTTGGTTTTAAACGTCGTGATCGCCTCAGCATCCATCGTGGAAGGAACGGGCTTCGGTTCATCTCCGGCGGGGCTGTTGAAATCGGTGCTCGCCTTCCCCGGGCGGGGAACCACCTCATCCACTGATGGAAACCCCTCATCTTCCACCACTTCCACTCCCTCTTCTAGTAGGGATACGTCATTCTCCGGCACCGGAGCACCTACAGCTCTGTTAGAATGGGAAGAAGAACTAGCCATTTGTTTTCTTTGATCAAAAGAAATGAAGATGATGAAACAAATAGATGATGGCCACAACGAATCTTAGCAGAGGTAGAAATATGAAAGATTAAAGAAAGAGGAGAAGATTTGCGAAATTCTCCCTTAAGCAATCGGAAAACGTAACCTTCAAATGAGAGGGTTCCCCCCTTATTTGTAGGGATATAAATGTCCCGAGCAGGAAAACCAAGAACTGCCAGTTAGAAAACGGAAAGGGCACGGGAAACGATACAACACCTAGAAAACGTGTGCCATAATGACGCATGGGGAATATTGATGACATTTTGAACCGGCGTGACGGTTCAATCTTGAACTGACATAACGGTCCGACGCGATCCTCGAAGCGTCACGTCGCTGCCTCGCCATGAGGTCCTCGACCCTCGCATAAAGCATTCAGATTTCTCCCGATTTTTGAATCAACAGGGTCCGCCCATCGAGCTTGCCAGCAGGCGACCCCAACGGACGGAGGGACTAATTGTATGGGTCAAAATCCGACCACACGTGGATTAACGCTAACAGAGATGGTAAGAGGTCGACTAAGCTGTGGTCATACCCACGGGGTGTAATAACAACAAAGACCTCGGCCACTGCCGAGATCGAGCCATCCCAAAAGCATGTAGGGTGAAGTAAAAATTGTGATATTTGAGGGAGGCGACGTGAAGGACGGTCAAGGGATGAAGGCATTCCGGTTAAGGACCGATGGACAAAAGGGAATACTGATAGTATATATAGGAGGTAAGAAGACAAGAAAGGGGGCCTCTCCTCCTCCAAGGAAGGGAGACACAAGAACAAAGAGAACCTCTGACAACCACAAAGTAAAAGTCTAGATTCTTGTTGCAAATCTTTGTAATCATCATTGCTGAATCAATAAAGGCAAATCCCTTAGCTATCAATAGCACTCCCCCCCCCCCCCCCCCCCCTCTTTTCTTCTTCGCTCTTACATTACGTAACAATGCATTGAGAATGTAAGCTTGTCATTTATATTTGATATCTTTATAACATTAAAAAGAGTTATGAGCTTGATTATATTTTGTTCTCGTCTTTAGCATGCTTTGACCTAGAGTTAATTATGATTGGCTAAGAGTTATCCTTCATCTTCTCATTAATTGGTTTAACAAAAAGCTTAACACTTTCTGGTCAAACAATTAACAAAAAGAAGAGTTGTTTGTAACTGGGAGAATATACTGACGATAAGTCGATAGGTATCTTTCAATATTCTGATAAATCGAAGCATCAGCATATACTAAACCTCTTAATTGCTAATGATCCTGCAACGAATCCCAGTTAGATTAAAAGCACCCTAATTTATATATGAAATATAGCACGGCTCAGAACGGGCAGCAAAAAGGATAGTTACTATACGCAACTACACATCCTAAATATGTGAGTGTGTGAAAACTTCAGAGATTGAGAGACTATACCTCGCTGGAGAGATTTGAGGCAAACATAGCCATTCCTGCCATTCCCGGAAAGGGGAGCTTTTTTTCAGTTCCGGCAATCGTCTGGCAAATTTGAGTACCAATACTGCGATCTATTGACTTTTTGTGGAACTACACATAACCCCTTCAGTCTACGAAAATTCACTCCAGCCCTTTTTCTTTCTTAATTTGTAGCTCTAACCTCTTGCTTAACCAATATTGTCATATGGCCCAGTTTGTTTTTCTTAAGATTAAGATTCTAAGACATAAAAATCTCAATGCACACCTGAGTATTAAGATTAAGACGTATAAATCCAAATATATTTCAGTATTTAGATCTATAATCATATTCAAATATTTTAATCTTAATATACATAATATTTAGATATTTTAATCTGGAAAACTTATTCTAAATAATATACTATTAATTAACTGGCTTGCTTCGAGTGGTTTGGTTCTACATAGTACTTGACACATGATCAAAAGCAAAAAGAACATAATACTATTATTACTTTTTTGGGAAACTACCAGTTATGTCCATTTATAAGTTGCTTATTATAAAAATTGACCAATTCCTAAAATATTAATATTAGCCAATTAGCTATTTGTAGCAAAAAAAATATCAAATTTTTGCTTTCTTTTGAGTGGGTGCTATTAGAATAGATTCGGTATATCTTAAGGAGCTTGAATCTCGGTTTTGGGACGATTTGGTGAAGTTTTGAGGTGGTTTGAATTAAAAATTCGAAGTAAAAATTGAATATGAAAAAAAAGATATGTGTATCACATTGTGTATCATTTGTGTATCACATATGTATCATATTTGTATCAATTGTGTATCACATGTATATCCATGTATACCCGTGTGTGAGATACATGCGTGATACATGTTTGATACATGTGTCACATAAGAATTTTTTGAACTCGATTTAATTACGAATTTTGATACAAAACTGTTTGGCTCAAAAGTTAACAATATACTTTGTAAGCTAAAAAACAATCAAAAGTAGGAAAAGGGTAAATCGTAATCAAATATAATAAACCTAGAGATGCAAAGATGATAATATTGTTGTAGATCTAATATTGCAAAGTGACAATATGAACTCAATTAGATACGTTCGTTTGAAGTAGAGATAGAGAGAGAAAGCCAAGAAAATGAGAGAGTTGTATTGGATCAGATCCCCCTTTTACAATGTGAAGGTCTCCTTTATATAATAAGAGACCTTCCTCGAAAGAATGAAAAAGTTACAAAGACAGGTAACGTCTCCCTAGTAAAGACACTGAGTCCTAAACGATGTCGCTTTTGTCCCCACGGGCGAGTCGTACCCGCTACGTTAATCGGCGTACACTCACTGGGCGTACCCACTGGCGTAGAGATGCTGAGGATCAAATTTGACCCTATACAGTTAGTCCCTCCGCTTGTTGGAGACGCATTCGGTGGGCGTCTTCGATGGGCGAAAATGCGAACCTCGGCTTAGGAGAATTTGACCTCGACCAGGGGCGGCAATATGAATGAAGTGAAATATGTGACGTTGTTGAGCCACTGACGCATGGCTTCCTTTTTGAAATGACGTCATCGCCTGTATGCATCATTATTATATTTGCCCCCGAGGCGGTTCAGAGGATGATGTGACATTTTGGTTTCCCGCGCACGTTTTGAATCATGACTCTTTGATTTCTGCGCAACTTATCCCTATAAGTAGGAGAGAGGTTCGATTCGATTCAACTTTCAAGCCTTCGGAAAGCATTTTCTGATATACTCCTTTGTCTTTCTTTCCTGTAACCGTTGTTTCATGAGGGACTCTCCCACTTCTGTTGAAACCACACTTCTTATCGTCAGTGTTTCGTTTCTTACGTAGTATAATCATGACAAAACGTGGACAGAGTAGCAAAAAGGCCAAAGATAATGCCCCGTCTAGGGTTCCTCCATCTTCCGGTGGTGAAGGGGAAAAGGCGGAGAAGGCCCTTGTTCCTCTCAGTGTAGACAACGTCCTTCCGAAGGAGATGCATGTTCGCAGGGATTTTCCAACTAAAAGCCCAGACCTTCCTTGGGAGCACAGCGTTTTATTACAATCCCACTTAGATGATCTTCGAGAGACGCACCATATTCCGGACCACGTGGAAATGGTTCCGGCCGGGACGGACTATGCCAATGTGCACCGGCCTGGATATTGCACATTCTATGAGTACCCGTTCTTGATCGGTTACAATCTTCCAATCTACCCTATGATGGAGGAGCTTTGCCGTTTTTATAATGTGTTTCTGGCCCAGCTCACTCCTTAGACCTTGAAGGTGTGCCGTATTATGACCACTTATGCGGCCAGGGCTGAGTGCAGCGTCTCGGTCCACCACCTCTTACAGTTATTCAGCCCTGGTTACCTGAGGGGTACCATGCTGCAGTTAAAAGGTCGTGGCACAAGGGGCTTGGTCGTTAAAGCCGATGATAAGCCCAACCGCCGCTTTTGGCGTAAATATTTCTACATCAGGACGGAGCACCTGGTGTCGAATCCCGAAGGGTTCCCGGAAAGATGGAATCCAGAACGTGGGTATTTCTACTCGTAGAATTCAGGACTGCTTGCGCTTTTGACCATACGGCCATTGTGATTTCTTTGCTTTTCTCCCTTTTTTATTCGCAGCGAGGGCTTCTCCACCCCAGTTCGTTGATGACATTAAATCATGGGTGGAAAGAATAATATCTTATGCGGAGGAATGCCGTACCCGGACTGCATTTCTTCAACAGTACGGCCCGTCAGGTAATTCTTTGGCTACAGTTTGGGAATTCCCTACGTTCTTGTTACCTGACTTATTCGCGTTGGCAGGTCGGAGCGCCCCTAAGAAGAAGAAAAAGAACGTCGTCACCTCACCTGGGGCGGGGACTGATTCTGAAGGCGGATACATACCCTGTGGTCCGCCCAGTGATGGCGCTGTGGAGGTTCCTCAACCGCTGCCCGTGGCGGCGTCCACGAGGGGAGCGACTCCTTCAATGCCATCCCCACGTGCTGTGGAGGAGACTTCTAAGAGCGAGGAGCCACCGGAAAGGAAAAGACGTCGGTTGATAACCGGCAAGGGGATAGCCACAAAAGACGAGGGGGCAAGCGAGCCCTATCGGGAGTCAAGGCCAGTTTTTATGGCAGATGCCATCCGTTCCGGGAGGTCGGCCCCCAAGGGGGGGGGGGCGATTCTCGATGCCAGCCCAACACGCATTTCGGAGAGCGGCTCGTCGGCTGCCGTTGGAGAAGCGGGCGATGATACCGAGAGGGTGGGCCCTAAGGCCGCCCAGGCGGATGCAGATGCGTTAACGTGGGGTCCGGCCCGTGTGGGGATGACGGCAGGTAGATCCAACCGCCGAATTCTGATCCCAGGAGGGTAACCTATTGCAACACAGCGAGCAGGCCGCAACAGATATGACCCTGCTATGTGCGGCCGCTGAGCGTGAAATGTTAAAAGGGGTTAGCGACGGGGAACTATCCCGAAGGGTTGCCGGCGCAGCCTTGCAGGTATTTTTCGATTTTCTTCATGTACCGTAAAGTAAATTTTGATGCATACTGACTTGCCTTTCCTCCTTTTCCTCTTTTTTAGACTCTCATCTTGGAGATAGAGAGGGGGCGGCGAGCGCAAAGGAAGGCAGCCACCTTTAACAAGGTGGTAAAGAAATATCGGCGGTGCCGCGTCAAGCATCAGGCGCTGGCGGACCTACTCAAGCAGGACCCGGAATTTCGGGTTTTCCGTGAGGGCTTGGAGCAGTCGGAGGCCCAGCTGAAACGGAGGGTGGCCGAGTTGGAGCAGATCGACGAGCAGCTGATGACTGCCCTGGCTCGGAACATTGAGCTGGAGACTCTTCTCCAGTCTAAGGAAGAAGAGTTGGAGGTTGGCCGTGGGGTAGCAGCGGAAGCCGCTGATTTGCGGATCAAGGTTGCCGCTATGACCACCGAACTCGATGCCAAGGCGGCTGAGATTGAAGTCCTCAAGCGGACTGCTGCACCAAGGCCTGATGGGGATACGCATTGTGAGGCGCATGACATGTGGGTATACGCCGAGGCCAGATTGGTCGTATTCGAGGAGTTCTTAGCTGCGGGTCGAGCTACTGAGGCGAAGGTTCAAGAGCAACGGCGCATAGCCCGTGTCGCCCGTGAAACTTGTGGGTATAGTTCTGATTCCCCAGACCGGCGGGCTATAACTCCGAAGACGTCAACCGTCTAGAATCCGGCTCTTGGATCTCTGCGGCCTATCAGGCCGAGGACGGCGGTGGACAGAATGGCGAAGCCCCTTAGGACTTGTATTCATTTTGTTTTGCTGTATTTGGAGACGTAAATGGGTCCTTTTGTACATGTATTTTTGGATGATAATGGAAGTTATACTTTTGCTGTTATTCTTTTCTTTTTGTACCTTCTATTTTCGGCCTTAATATTGTTGATGGTCTTAGCCGCGTGCGCAACTTCGACTATCGTCGAGTTACTCGCTGTCATAGTCGAGCTAGGTCGACTTATCGGTATCGATGGCCTTAGCCATTATACCGTTGATGTCCTTAGCCATGTGCGTAACTTCGACTGTCGTCGAGTTGTTTACCCACCGCAGTCGAATCTAGGTCGACCATCGGCAGCGATGGCCTTAGCCATAATATAGTTGATGGCCTTAGCCATGTAGGCGGTTTCGACTGTCGTCGAGTCGTTTACTCGCCGTAGTCGAATCTAGGTCGACCGTTGGCGGCGATGGCCTTAGCCATAATATAATTGATGGCCTTAGCCATGTAGGCGACTTCGACTGTCGTCGAGTCGTTTACTCACCGTAGTCGAATCTAGGTCGACCGTTGGCGGCGATGGCCTTAGCCATAATATAATTGATGGCCTTAGCCATGTAGGCGACTTCGACTGTCGTCGAGTCG